CGGCATGTATCAGACACAGTGATCACATTGATGTTACTGAACGCCAACTTCAATCATGACATTTTGGAGTTCGTCGTAAGCACCATGACGTAAGCGACGGGGGACATTGTGTAATACGGATAAATTCGTTAGAACGTGAATACATAATTAATAATAATCCAGCTTGTCGTAAATTAATTGAACAATACGTTAGTAATTGATGTGTTAATTTAGCTCCGATATTCACAGAATTAAATTGTTGTTGATTAGAATTTATTGGAATTGTCTATTTCAATATAGAATATAATCTTAGGTAATATTAATAGGAAATAGATAAAACATTTCTACACATTCATTGCTGGCCTGATTTAAATTGTTGGTAAGATCAGCTTGCAAGCCACAAATAAGTATTTATTTTACCAAAAAATCCAGTGGAGCTAAAACCTAAATTCTGGGCCTCAATATCAACATGATTCTTTGCCTGACTCACGTTGACTTTTGGGTATAAGGCCGCTTTCATTACGGTGTTTTCTTTCACCGTACAAAAAAGTGTTTATGCACACATAGAGAGAAAATCTATTTGGTGCACAGACGGGGATCGAAATAACAACCTCAGTGACAAGAGTCGTACGCTGAAGCGTCGGCCAACTGATCTTATTTATTTACCCGTTATATTAAAATATTTATATATATACGTAGCGAGGCTATGCGATAATTGATGGACAAGAGAGACAAAACAATGGACAGGCCCACTAGGACAGAGTAGAAGAGGAAGACCAAATGCACGCTGGGCAGACGATATCATAAAAGTAGCAGGTACTCATTGGTTACGTGCGGCAGAGAATAGAGAGCACTGGTCTTCTTTGGAGGAGGACCTTTCATGGCGAGGGTTCTTGCAAAAAAATATTAAATTAGATATTGTTATTATTTATGTTAATTACAACATCAACTTCAAATTAATTCAATAACTAATTAATCTTATTTACATTTTTTAAATGAAACTACGAAAATGTAATGGATTTGAATATATTATTATTACAATCAAATTATTTGTTAATCATAATCACTTTAATTTTAATTTATTTCTAATTTATTTTGCATGCACACTGTTAATGAAACTGTACTATGGAATGCAAGAAATAAAAGGCATTTTATTTTATTTTTATTTACTATTTTATTTATATATGATTTGGAAGGAAAAAATCGTCTGTTATAAGTCCAATATTTTCTTTCTCAAGGCCGCCGTCAAGGAAGCAATTAAACTAAAAACAATGAATCTTAATTACAGGTAGATCCTTATAAAGGTAGGCGAAGGTTTTACGATAAATGTTACAGAAATAAAATAGGCTTCAACTATCTGTATCAAAATAATAATACCTACAGTCAAAACCGTTTACGACGACATCGTTTAGAACAACATACCGGTTATATTGACCAAAATCAAAGGTCCCGGCTGAATTCTATTGTATTAGGTTCTTAATAACAACGTCATCGGCTGTTACGACTATCGGTTTTTACGACCAAATATGAGTAAGTAGACCCTTCGATGTCGTCATAACAGATTTTGACTGTATAAGGGAAACGGCTACACCTATCTTGATTTCTTCTCTATTTTAATTTTATTTTAATTTTATTTTAATTTTTTATCCCTTTGGAATGTCCAATGTTTTATCACAAAACATTCTTTAACTAATTGAGAATAGCAATTTATATTATGTATATGTTATTTTTTTATTATTGCTTAAACATTATAAACCAAAAGTACAGAAAACACCTAAGAACTACTAAGGGGTCTCGGAAGGGCTACAGTGCAAATTTCAAATTCCTTATAAAGTTAAGTTATAAATAATACAATCAATACAAAAACGAAAACGAAAACAGTACAAGAAAACAGAGATAAGAATAAATTATTTGTATACCTTATACATAATATTACATCTACTTATATACCTAAATCATAAAAATACTTTTTCACCCTACCCTTGCAATTTTCGAGTGTTATTTAAAATCATTTATTAAACAAAAGCTAAGGTATGAACAGTGCACCAAATCTATATTTGTGTTATTCTTTGTAAAGAACACATTTAGGTCACTACTAGAGCTGGCCATGACGCATGATGCCACCATTTTCCGAATATAGTTAGCGGTTAGGCAAACTTTCGGTAGTTACAGAATAACAAAAGAAAGTCTCATGTAGGGGAGCGTGGGGCTAGTTGTAACAATTTTAACAAATAATTGAATATCATGAAGTGTATTGGCTAAATTACTACTAAATAAACTTTGATGGATACTCTAACTATTTATCTATGAAGTCTAATCGAAATATTATCAAATCTACAGGCAACTATCTCACAATTATTATTTTTTTTGAAAAAAGGGAAGTGTTACAACTTACCCCGTGGTTGGGGCTAGTTGTAACAACAAAAATAACACCTTCAATTGTTTAATTTTTTCACATCTTGGATCATTTTGCTTTGTATATAACAAAAACTAACTAGGTATTTCTATAATGTGTTTTTTATGAAATAGTTAACTGGACAAAAAATATAATCAACAAATTAAAGATTTAAGATTTTAACTATCTTTCTTATTCTGTACTGAAGTATAATATATATAGGGTACTTATATCATGTCATGAAGTATATAAGGTACTTATATCATGTCAACATGGCACTTATTATACATCCATTCAGTCTGTGCTCTGTTCACATAGTTTTTAAAAGGGCCGTAGACTCCCACATCTCCTACAGGTTGCAAATTGTGGGAGCAATGGGAGGGAAACTATAACATGATAACATTGTTTTCTTTGGCTTTTTCGACAGCTGCAATATTCACATGTGAGCCATGGTTATCAAGCAGTAACAGAACTGGCTCTTTCTTGGTAGGTTTCGCGTCTTTGATAAAATGATCTACAAAAATCAAAAATTCTTTATCAGTCATCCACCCTGAAGCGACCAACCAGCAGCTCCAATCAATCTTGAGGTCCACCGCGAATGAACATTTCTGAGTATTTATGCCGGGGAAAAATGAACATCGGCCGTCAGTAACTTACAGCAATCTGGGGGAAAATTGTAACAAACCCCGAGGTTTTGTTACAACTAGCCCCTTGATATAGTTCTAAATATTTATCACGATAACTATTAAATCAACTTAGTTATCTTGAAAACTGTTATAGAACATCATAAATAGTTATATTTTAGCATAAAATGAAATACATAAAACTTCAAAGCTACGAAAATAGTGAAACTAACCAAAAGTTTACGTTAGTAAAATTATAGGTTACCTGTCAACAATAAAGCGTTTGCACACACCCACTCACTGAGCCGCCTGGCGGGCCCTTGGCTGTGGTAAAGTGGCGTGGCACGTTATAAGTTTAAGATTAGGTAAAAAAAAACGTGAATAAAATTCAAATTCCTATTGGAAAAGGTCTGTTACTATTTACCCCTGTTACAACAAGCCCCACGCTCCCTACCTATAGTCACATGAATGTAAAGTATCTGTGTTGTACATTCTTCTAGGTACCTTATGGCCGATTAATGGTGAAATTTCCGTATTTTATTCAAATTTATGAAACTTTTAATTTATATATCTACAACTAGCGAAGTGCCCAGGAGACTTCTGTGCTTCTGGAAGGAGCTAGGCTTAGTTAGCCAGGACCTAATGAGAGTCTAAGTTCAGAAAATGAGTCCACAAACCCTTAATCTTTAACTTATACTATATATTTTTAAGAAATAATTGTAATGGTTGTTGAAAATGTATTTGCAAGTTATTTGTACCAAAAGCTATAAATTAATTATGCAGCACGAAATATCATGTAGGTACAATAAATCCAAAGCATTGTAATAAACATTAAATTAATTGTACAATCTTGTATATCGATGTAATAACAAAAATCAATTACAGCAATCAAAACAATTTTAATTAAAAATCAAAGTATTTACGAAACACTGTTTGTAATGGCGGAAAATTTGCGTGAAATTCAAAGCTTATCGCGTTTCATTAAAATTTAAATCAACAAGACGAAGCCACAATATTATTTTATTATCGATAAAAATTATTGCCCATTTATTTTTTATATAGGAGTTACATGTGGTTTTACTCTGACGGTTTAAATCTATATCATATTAACTAAGGCGTAATCGTAGGTAGGTAGGTACTCCGTTTGCCTAATGACACCTGATAAATGATGTAAATAATGATACAAGAAAATGTAGTTTTGTTAGACACATATTGTTAAGGGAATCTTTTTGTTCGAGTTTATAAAATCATGATTCATTAAATTAATGTATTTCAGGTAAGGATTGAAATTCTATTAAATCAAAAGGGCTTTTTAATATTTGCTACATTTAAATATATCCATATAATATTTCATAACGTAATGTAAAACAAAATATGATAAATATATTTAGAAATTTCCCACATAAGGACACACAAACCCTACATCTCTTCAATAATACAGATAAAAATGATTACCAATTCATTGTATACAAGGCGTCCCGCAATTTTGCACGGAATCGATTATTCATCGGAAACCGATGAAAAACTTTATCTCGATACATTAAGCTAATAAAGCATTCGAGTTAATTAAAGACTATCGCTGCGAACGCAAAAAGAATCAGAGACGTACCCAATCCGCCGCCTAATTGAATCATAACCAGCTAAATTTAAAAGCCCCACAGCCCTATTAGTACATCGCAGCACGAACGCATCACACCATCTGGCTGGTTGAAAAACTCCGAAATCCGCCCACCGAAGAAGGCTCTATATTTCAAACCCTCCCGTTATCTCCGGCCGACCAATGGGATTAAACCTGTCCTATTAATGAGAGTCGTTTAGTTGCGCAGTAACACCCATAGCGCGAGAACAGCCAATAGAAACACAGCCGTCCATGTTAAAACTTTTTTGAGAGAAACAGGCGTCCGGCGACCGTCGGCTCATTCGTTCGCGCGCCGGCGTGGCGTACGTGTCGCATCATGGATTGTGTCTTTGTGTTGTGATTGTGTTAAAGTGACTGTGGAAGCATGATGCCTCTCGCACCGACACCTGTGGTCGCGGTGCCATCGAAACCGAAAATTGGATTTAGTATAGACAGTATTGTGGGTGCCGAGAAACAAACTTCGCCGCCGCTCGGCAGTCCCGGGTCGCCTTCGCCCGTCGCTTCACCCCGGAGTCCATCTCCGAGACCATTATTGCGGCCTAGCGCCTTACCAGCTATGTTTCCTTCGCCTGAGCTGAAGAGGCTACCGTATTTAGACGCTCAAACCCATCACCACCAGTTCTTAGCGCATTTTCAAGGCGCGGCGCTAGCTGCGGCCCTCGCTCATCAGCAGCAAGGGTTTGGGGCGCCCCTACCTCCGCACCCACCTCCTCACCCCGCGGCCCCGGTGCCCAGGGAGTCGTATCAGCTGTACCCGTGGCTAATCAATAGGCATGGAAGGATTTTCCCGCATAGATTTCCTGGAGGTAAGTGTTTTGTTTTGATGTTTATAAACATACACAGATTATTGTTTTGTTATTTTAATTATGTTAGCAATGATGGTCTTTATTATTTAAAGTACCTATAACAAGAGATCTGACATTTTCTTATGCTTTAGTTTCTTACAAGATTTGATAATAAATATATTGTAGGTAATATTTGTTTCCCCTTTTGTCAAAAACACATTGTTGAAGAAATTTTTTTAAATTATTCAACGCTAAATTAAATCTGGGTATTGGCAAAATTTTTAATAAAAGCTTTGCAAATAAAATAAGCCTTTTTATTGGTTACTATTAAAGTATTACTATTTACTGAATGAATACATAACTAGAACACAATATATATTTTTTTATTATTATTTTCTAAACAAAATAATAACAACAAGAACTGTCATCGGGGAGGTGTTGCATTCGCAATAGTTTAACAATTTGATTATATGCAAAATTATTACCTACTATTGTCTATTGTTGTACATCCGTTTCGCTATTTTTCGTTATTTGCAACCATACAGACAACATAGTCTAGTGTAATAACGATAATTAGTCGACATTGCACAACATCTTCACACTTCACGGATTTAACAAGTGACCGTGGCAGTGGCCGCTACTTTGCGTATTTCTTTAAATATTGGTTAATTTAATGAACTAGTACGCTGCGTATAACATTAGGTATATTAGGTATAATTTATATAGTTTTAATTATTTACTTTATTTTAAGTCGGTTAAACAATACAGAAAAGCCACAAACGGAATAGATTCAAACGCAAACATAGATAACAGTTATTATGTAAAAAAAGATATTACATATGATACAATTCGTAAAAGGCCGACTACGCATTTGCGAGCTTTTGGGCAATGTGAGTGGCCTGGTATAACCTTTTTTTATACATGTATCTTTACTAAGGCATCATGGAACATTACGATCTAGCCTAACTTAAGGCTAATAAGTAATTTAAGTGTAACCTGATTTACTAAAAAGGATTTTTAACATAAAGAAGAGTTCAATAACACTACTTACAGTCTCTTTTAAAGGGAAGACACTCTGTTCTTGAGTTCTATTTTTTCACTCACTGTATAGCACTTAATACTAACGTGCACTAACACTCATTCACTAGTTCAAATGGTTGTTGTCACTTAACATCAGGTGAAGCTCCTGCCCGTTTTCCCCGTTATATAATAAAAAGATTCATCAAAGTCAAAGTCAAAATCATTTATTCATATAGGTAACATAATGTACACTTATGAACGTCAAAAAAGAAATATAGGTACATTAAATGCTTCTAAGAACGAAGAGAAGAACTGGCAATAAACTCATACATTTATAGGTACTAAGCGTATCCTCATATGTTATTTAACCAGCTTTGCATTATCTTTATGATGAAGTAAATGTAAATACATTATCAGATACTTCCGCTTCCTCATTTCTTTAGTTCTAATATCATATTTTCGAGAGGAGCAATCCGAGCAGAGCATCTCTGAACCGTAGCAAATCTTATAAAAAACTTCCGAACAAATGCGTAGTTCAATTCTTATCAACATTACATTCTTCTTAAATTGGTCTTGTTTTCACATTTCTGCGGAAGTATGACGTGAACTTGTGTCTCGAAAATTAACCCACCCATATACATATTAATCATAGAAATAATTAAAATAATATTTTGTTTGTTAAACCATAAAAGAGATAATAAACAAAACAATAGAGATTTATTAAAAAAACATTTTTTTTATTGGATTGAGTGTTCCTCTAGTAACTTGAACGAGTTCAACTCAACCATGAGCTGCGGTTGTCAGTCGAGACTGAGTCAGGCACAGTCTGATCGCCTACCGGCTTAAAATATGCATCACGAAACAGATACAGAAATCTGAGTCGAAGACCAAAAGTTGTAGATTTTTTTTATTGTTTAGACAATCGAATCTCGCCGAATATTGTCATCATGTCATGAAGACTTCATTTATTTATTTCCCACATAATTATTCTACCTAAACACACCAATAAATACCTACACAATAATTCTAAAATGAAAAAAATATATAAAGCTAAAAACATTCGAATTTCGAATCTCTTTTTTTGTAATCGTCTATCATTTTAGAAGTGTCACAAATCGATATTTGGTTAACGCCATAAATTCTTTTATCTTTTATTAGACAGCTTTGAGATAACTCCACTGTTAACTAATAAAGTAGCATTTTTATATCTTCATTGGTTAGATGACATTTTATCTTATCAAAAACATGAATCGTGTGATGCATTTGTATCTACTGAATGTGTTATTAGAAAATAATACGTAAGATATTCCGATCATTAGTATTAGTTGACCATTTATTGATTATTCTCTTAAACGTCTCTAATCGTCATGATCGTAGAACAATGTCGGAGTTAGAAAAAATCCAATATCCACTTTTTATCATACTTATATACTACATTGACTGCATATTACGACTACATTAAAAAAAAATCTGGTGTTTTAAATTTCAAATTAATCAGTCAGTAAAGTGACGGATTTGATAGACGCTCATTGATTTTTCTAGAAAACTGTGCGATTTAATTTTTTTGTTTGCTTGTATGCCAATTTTCATAATTACAGAATATGAATTTAAAAAGTTATGACAAAAAACTAACATGATTATATTATTTTGTAATGGCTGCCCTGTAAAGTTTACTATTTGTCAGATCACTATTCTACGACTATGACGATATGTATACTAAGATATAGGTAATTTTTTTTTAATATTATAGATACCTACCTATATCGCTGTACCAAACGGACCATGCAACTTATAGAAGTAGCCTTTATATATATCTAGATTAATGATAATATTATTTATCATCGTAATATTTATTTCAACAAACTCAGGGATTACTATACTTAATGTCCCATGACACCTGGATAGGGCCTCCATCGTGTTCGGTCTTCGATTAACCTTGCTCCAAGGCTTTGCCTCATCTGCCACTGTACGTCGCCAGCGCTGTGGTTTCCAATCAAGCTCCTGCTTGGGGATATGATTGGGATCTCTTTAGAGTATACGTGTGAAAGACGGGAATGTCGTCGTAAAATTACACAAAAAACTGGAACAAACAGTTTTAATATTATTCATCATTTAAGCTGTATTGAAATAAATATTATATCTTCCAACTTAATAAAGATGTTTTGCTATTTTAATTATAAAAAATTTGATTCAAATTAAAATGTTTAGGCAAAATAGAATTATGATTAAAGAATTTGTTTTCATTATATGCATTTTACTTTCTGTGTCCATTGATTATTGGGTCTAAGACATACGCGACACGAGCAAGTCTTAATTGCGCAAATAGGACTGCTGCACAACAGAGAATTGCGTAGAAAGTAGTATAGCACTGCTATATATAGTTTAACAATGCGTAGATTACTTCTACTACTTCTGAATGTCAAAATAAAACAAATGTTCATAAATTTTACATTTTTACATTCTCAAATCAAAGCGTTAAAACGGACGAGAGGAACTGGAAAAAACATCTCCGTCAATTTTTTTATTTAACGAGAGATCTGTATTTATTCCTATGCATAAACTAATTCTTTATTGTGCAAATAAATAAGTGTACTATATTTAATGGCCATGCTCTCATTATCAATTGCGTTATGTCTCATTAAATAAAGTTATCTAAAACGTCCAAAGTGAATTCTTGAATCATGAATTATTAAACTAATAAACAACATTTATGAAACATTGAATGTGTACATGTATATTAGTCTATATCTTGTATGTTAAGGTGTTTAGTTACGAACTGTTCAACAGCTTAAAATTGTTTTACTTTAGCCATAGATAGCACAAATTTCGATACTATAATTTTTATTGTGTTTTATCTGTAGGCCTATTTGAAGTTATTCGCCTTCTTTTGGCGCGTTAGGGAAAAATGATGATAGTAAATTTTTACGATGCGCGCGCACACCAAACAACAAAACCGACACCCTATGTTCGCCTTAGTCAACATTTTAGTTTTTTCTACAAACGTAGAATACATTTTTTGAAAAGAATTTAACTTGTTACGCCGAAGAAGTATAACTTCTAACGCGTGTACATAAGTACACACACTTTTTTTTTACTTCAGAGGTTTCCCAAATCTTACACACTATAATTAATTGTTTCAAATGAATATTTTTTTTTTACTTTTAGGTGGGTATTTATTTATTGATATTAATATTTTTCTCTGGATTAGATACCGGAATAGAACTTCTTAGTAAATTTGTTGAGAGTCCTGGTGGACAGTAACGCTATATCTAAATAATATTTCCACATCACCATTATTAGTTTCTTTTTTACTACGTACATAATAATAACATTACAAGTTTCATACAAATTTAATAAACCTGGAATTAGATTTACGGCGTAAGTCTTAAGTATAGTCCGCCTAAAGCACTTTTAATTAGTTCCCGCTTGAAGGCAATTTTCACCAAATAAGACAATAATTAATTTCCAACGCAGTTATAATTTAACCCCTATATGGTTGACAGTGTTGAAACGTAACACCAATACAATTCTAAAAACAAATTCTTCATAATAATTATGTGCTACATATTTCTTTAATTATATATTTCATTTTATACTAAACTAAAATGCAAATATTATTTTATAAGTAAAGGACAAACTATTTTTTCTTTACTAATTTTAATTGGTATATCTAGCGATACATTAGCTTTATGTCAATTATTTTAGTTTTTGACAGCTCGAACAACAAGTTCCCTACTATTCGGATAGCTATTTTAACGTTCGTGCATCTGTTTAGTTCCAAATACAGCCACGGGGCGCTTCCTAAGTTTGCGACAAAAGATTCTATATAAACTCGGTTAATCATACCATTATTTACGACGCGTCATTTCATTTATTTAAAAAATTATAATGTAAAGTATATACTTTAAATTTGTACGTATTTAATAAAAACTCTAAAGTCGTAATAGTGTTATCAATATAACAAAAAAGGTAATAGCACTGCAGCCTCATATCCCACGAAG